CAGTAGTCCTGGATTGTGAGAGGGATCCCAGATTGGAGAGGGTGTAGGCTGGGCTGAGGGACACACACACACGCGCGCACACACACACACACACACACACACACACACACTGTGCATGAATATCGTGCACCAGGCCTCTACTACATAAAATAAAAAACACTAGAGGGAATTTGTTTGAAGATAGCTCTATTTTTTCCCTCTAGTGTAGATTTATCACATTAAAGGGTAGATTTATCACATTAGTGAATTAACGTTTTCTTGCACTAAATAACATTTTCTTTCTCGGGTTTTGTTCATTGCATTGGGAAGTTTTCATTTGAAAGTCATTTTACAAAATCAAACAGGGAAATCCCACTTGCATACACACTCTCTCTGCTTGATCTTAAGGTCTTTATAAATAGAATAAAACCATCTCCCAGAAAGCAGCTTCCTATAGGAGCCTGCCAGCTCAGCATTATTTATCTAAAGTTAGATTTTGTTCAGGTTTCCATCTGTCTAAGCTATTATTCATGCCTTTTAAGAGTGAATAAAAACAATACTTTCAGGTGTTCTTTTGAACTGAAATAAAAAAATAAGCTCAGGTTCTAGAATTTTCTGGGGCATACATGTGATCACTAGGTCTGATCTCACTAATTCAGTGAGTGTCTCTGGCTGTGTGAATTTTAAAGAGTCATGAAGCCAACGTGGGGGCAGCCTTCAGGCCGCTAGGAGCTTCTGTATGATATCCCAGGGCACTGTGCTGGGGGAAGGGGGAAGCTGGGACAGGGAGCTTCCTAGTTGGAGTGTTGTGTGCTTTAAGACCCAGCATGGGTTGTCCACAATATGTTACAGTTGTAAACAAAGAATCCTTGGCCTGAGGGTCCCTGACTATTCATTGTGTGCTTCAGTGGGGCCCACAGTATCACATCCAAGTCAGGCCTCAACATGGGATTCCAGACACAGAGAGGTGTCAACCATGCCTTGCAGTGACACTTGTCATCTGATGTGCCTGAGTCTCTCTATGCCCCTCCAGGGCCTCAGGACCAGCCAGGGAGACTCATGCCCCATGCCCACCATGGGGGAGGCAGTTGGTAGGAGGGACCCTGTGGGAAATGGTAAGGAAAGGTACTGGAACATGGGAGCTGAATGGGGGGACATCTGGTGTGTTCAGTTAGCTGGTGGCCCTATGAATGGCAGGCAATATGAGAGTGGGCTATTGACCACAGCCATCCCACCAGTTACACCAGCCCAGCAATGTCACCCTCAGACTGGCCCTTGCTGTCACCTCTCCACTACACTTGAACCTTCACTGTGTGTGTTTTTGTTTTGTTTTTGACACCCTGTTTCTTCTCAGGAGAAGGAGCCAGACTCTTCTGTGACTCCAAATTCCCTCGCCCCAGCCCCACCCCATTCCTTGAGTTCTTCAAGGGCCAAGATCTCCTCATCATCCCCCCAGACCCAGAATGTGGATGGACAGGGTTTGGGGGCAGCTGAACCCTCTGCTGTCTGGTTTGCTCAGGTCTCACACTCATGCCAACTGACCAGACACTGCCTATAGCAGTTGGGCCTTAGATCTCAGGCAGCCTGGTCCTGTATCTCGTTCCTGCTCTGTTGAGGGACTCAGCTTACCTACAGGTGCCTCAGTCTAGGTAGCAAGAGAAGGTACCCACCTCGAGGCAGATGGAGGCCACGACAGGGTCCCTGGCCCATCCCATGCAGGGAGAGATGAGGGGCTCCTGGGAACAAGACCAGGTATGGAGTAGGCCTAAGGCAGGGTCTCTTAACCTACCAGGCGGTCTATGGGGTACTGTCAGCACTGTTGTGTGTGCCTGGTCAGTTTAGGGGGAAAGAGTGAGTGGCATCACTTGATTCTGAGGGCAGATTGGGGCCCACAGGAGATCCCAGGACTTTCAAGTAGTGAATGAGCTGATGGCAGCAGGAAAGTGCTGTTAGGGTGAGGTTTAGTTACTGGGACTCCATGCCCTTCAGTGATGAAGGAGAAGGCTGAGCTGGGCACCTAGTAACCAGGGATTCTGTTGGGCCCACTAGAAAGGCAGCAGGCTGCAAAAGCCTGTCCGGGCTATGAGGCCAGGTTGCTCCTTATTCGCTATAGGCCCTCAGAGGCACCACTGCTCCTCAGGCACACTGGGAGGATAGGGCAGGCATGGGCAGGGGGGTGGGGAGGGGGGCGGTCCAGAGCCCAGGGAGAATTCTCAGACCTAGCCCTGCCAATCGGTTGCCTTCCCTCCCCAGCCCATCCAGCACCCACACCACAGTGGGTACCTGGTGTCAAAATAGTGATGGGAGGTAGGGGGTGTGATTGCTTCTAATGTGGCTGTCTGTCACCAAAATATCTTTTGGCACTGAGTAACTCAGAAGAAAGTCTGAAACCTTAATATTTTATTAGTCATTGTTGGGTTTTTTTAATTCATTCTTTTTTTTTTTTAGATAATCATAGAACTATTTTTAATTGGATTATAAATGTCCCTTCATTCTTTTTTCTTTTTTTTATCCTCACCCAAGGACATGCTTAGAAAGAGGAAGGGAGGAGGAAAGAGAAGGAGGGAGCGAGGGAGGGACATCGATCAGCTGCTTTCCATATATATTTTGATGAGGGCTCGAACTCGCAACCCAGGTATGTGTTCTCACCAGGAATTGAACCGGCAACATCGCTGTGCACAGGACCATGCTCAACCAACTGAGCCACTCCGGCTGTGTTGTCCCTTTATTCTTAATTTAAACATGTTTAGCGTTTCCAAATTCACTTCACACAGAATAATGAAACCTTGACCCAGGTGGCTTGAGCATATTTAGGTTTAATTTTTGTCTATCTCATTAAGTAAGCATCCAATTTGAAGCGCAGTAGACTGACTTGCTTGATTTTTGTTTTTCAGTTTTAAAAAATCCTTGCATTTTTTCCCCCTAACTCCATTTTTGTTGGTTTGTTAAAAAGGTTTGTCCAGAGGGGTTGCGTTTATCCGGTTTGACAAACGGTCGGAAGCAGAAGAGGCAATTACCAGTTTCAATGGTCATAAACCCCCAGGTTCCTCTGAACCCATTACAGTGAAGTTCGCAGCCAATCCCAACCAGAACAAAAATGTGGCGCTGCTCTCCCAGCTGTACCACTCGCCAGCTAGACGGTTTGGAGGCCCCGTGCATCACCAGGCACAGAGATTCAGGTGGGTCAGGAGGGCAGTGCTCTCATCTACCTACCCAGTCTCTTCCCACCATGGCTGGCAGTGCTTTGAAGGCTGTTAGAGCCTCACTGGCTTGGTAACCACACACAGTGGGAAGCACTGGGCATGCCAGGCTGCTCACATCAGAAGGTTGTACTCAGAATCATTTCATGTCTCCATGTCCCACCTCCATTATAAAAGTGTCTGTATGAAAGCCATCTCTTTCCAATTGAGTGTTGTCTTTAATTAGAATAAAAAAGATGATGCCAGTTCCAACCAGGTACTGAGAGAGCGGGTGATAGCACTCAAGCATATAGTTTCTAGAGAGATGAGAGTATAGCTGTGAGTTTAAAAGATCATTCCAAAAAAAACCATGTATATATAACACATAGACACAGACAATTGTGTGGTAATAGCCAGAGGGAAAGGGGGGTGGGAGCTAGGTGTAGGTGGGCAACGAGGGGGAAATGAGGAAGGAAAGAGACATTGCTTGAGGACGATGGGCGCATGGATGCAGTGTGTAGATGATCTTTTATTGAGTTGTACACTTGAAACCTGTATGGTTTTGTGAACCAATGTCACCCCAATAAATTCAATTTTTTTTAAAAAAAAAGAAAATACTCTAAAAATATGCATCATTCAACTCCGTAAGAAAAGGATGCAGCTGTAGGTATGTTCAGTGAGAGCTGTTCTCCTTCCTGAGTTTTTAAACAGGTTTTAGACATTTGGTCATCAGGCCTAAGGCAACCCTTTCTCACATACCTGTGGAGTTATTTTGATATCTAAATACTGTATGCCTTCTGTTGAAAAGCCCTGTCCAAAGTTCTCAACCATGTCAGGTTCTAAAGCTGGCTCTCCTAGTTACTAGACAAAGGCAGGGGAAGTGCCTTCAGACAGAAGCAAGTATGGAAGTAAATCCAGTGTGGAAGTCAGATAACATAGATCACCTCACTACTGATCAGGATGAGTGGATGGCAGTGTTCATTGAGTTATGGTAACTGGAAAACCAGGGACGGCTGGAGGAGGAGAAGGGGGCCTTGCTCACAGCAACAAGGAGTAGAAAAGAAAGTGGAGACCAGAGGAGCCAAACGGCTGGTTAGGCAGGGAAAGGAACATGACGGCCAGAGGAACAAAGCAAAAAGATGGAAGGAAGTAGTGAGTGGGAGAGACAGGAGGAAAGATTTACCACCAGAAGGCAGACTAAGATAAGAATAAGAGAAAGACCCGGAAGAGAAGAAAGTGCCTCTGTTGTTACCACATTGGGGAAAGGAGGGTCAGCTCTCCTTTTGTGCCATAAGAGAAAGGAGTTAGGGGTGGGTTTCCTGACTGTCAGGATGAAAGAAATCAGCTCCAATTGGCAGGAGAAAAACCTTAACAATAATTTATAAGAATCAGAATTATGTCAATAAAAGGCAATAAAGTATTTCTTCAGATTATTTGTAGTATAATAGCTACATAAGAAGGTTAACTATAATAAGTCATGTCCATATTAGGTACCTATAAAACTTGGAGAAAAATAGGTCCTTTTAAGGGGTCCTTTTAAAAGTGGGAATCCCTTTCCAGTTCTCATTGAGAACCAGCTGGGTGCCTTTTCTCACCCCCATTTCAATGCTGTTGTGGTCTCACTGTCATCCCAACAGACTCAAGATCACTGACAAGCCACAAGTCATGTAACCAACTCAGGTGTTCTGATGTAGGCTGTTTAAAATTATTCTTGAGAAGTCAAAGCCATGGCCAATAATGTGTCTGGATTCTTCCATACCTGTGTTGAATACAATCCTTGGATCAGTGGCCTATACCTCGGGGGCTGGTCACCCTGCCTGGGGTCATGTCTGTCAAGAAAGTGAATTTGTTTAATGGCCCCTTGAAGGCACCCACCTACCTCTCTGTCAGCCCCACAGCTCGAAGCCCGATTTTATTTTGGAGATATAATACTTCTCCATTTGCATGGTGTGGCTTCACGGATATTGTATCACAGTCAGATCTTTTTAAATTGACCTGAAACCATGACTTTTTAATTTGTGAACCATCTAGAGGGCCACATGGCTTCAGTAACAACTTTATTATCTCCCTTAATCCTTATTGCAATGGCTACACATTGGTAGAAGGCTTAGTTTTGATGTAATTAAAAGTGTCACTTTTAATTACATCAAAATGTTCCACATTTTTGGTACAGTTCAGTGACCCTGCAGTATGGCCTCTGGCCCTTTTGGGATGTTATGAGCCAGCAATGGAAGGTTACCCAGAGCTTTGGGAAGGAGTTCCCTTGTGCCGGCAGTGGCCCTTCACCGGAGCATGTGTAACCTGGACACCGCTTGGTTATGAACCCTTAGAGATGGCAGGTCATGACCGGGGAAGGTACAAAATTTAGAAAAAGAAGAAAAAAGTACAGGCCTCCCCAAAAGACATACATGCAGTATGAGGAAAGCGTTTGCTCCAGGGCAATTTGAGGGTGTAAGAGCACCTAAGAGGATGTGGAGAGGCTTCCATCATTTAAAATGTGAGAAGCACAGAAATGGCGAACAGGAACCACACACACACAGTGGGAAGTGTGGAGGAAGTGGTTGGTCAGCCACTAACAGACCATCATTCTGAGTGAAATCAGTTGAGGCTCTGAACTTCCACAGGCAACAAGTGTCTCAGGGTCGACTCCCTTCCTCTGCCACCATATTGAATTCCTCTCAGTTAAAAAAAAAAAATCTTGCTTGTGACTGGTGGGGTGTGGCAGCCTTGAGAACTCCACCCCTGGCTGATGGGAGAGGGAAGGGCCTGAGCCAATCCCGCCTGTTCCCCCAATAGTGTTGGCATGCTGGCCAACACTGACCTTGACCTTGACCTAAATGCTGTGCTCTCTGTTTGCTAGGTTCTCCCCTATGGGTGTAGATCACATGAGTGGGCTTTCTGGTGTCAATGTCCCAGGAAACGCGTCTTCAGGCTGGTGCATCTTCATCTACAACCTTGGTCAAGATGCCGATGAGGGAATCCTCTGGCAGATGTTTGGCCCCTTTGGCGCAGTCACCAATGTGAAAGTGATTCGCGACTTCAACACCAACAAGTGCAAAGGCTTTGGTTTTGTGACCATGACAAACTATGAAGAAGCCGCGATGGCCATAGCAAGTCTGAACGGCTACCGCCTGGGGGACAAAATCTTACAGGTTTCCTTCAAAACCAACAAGTCCCACAAATAACTCACTCATGCTTTTTTGTACGGAATAGATAATTCAGAGTGAAGAAGTTGAAACTTTTTTGTTAGTGTACAACTCATTTTGCGCCAATTTTCACAAGTGTTTGTCTTAGTCTAAATGAGAAGTGAAAAGGTTTTTATACTCTGAGATGCAACCAACATGTTCAAATGTTTGAAATCCCACAATGTTAGACCAACTTTAAGTTTCTTAAGTTATTTCCTTTAAAATATATATTAAACAGAAATCTAAGTAGACTGCATTGACTAACCAGTCCCTCGGGATGGTGGTGAAACTGAAGCATGCTTTAACTTCTAAGACTGTCTAACACCAACTTCATTCGGTGTCTCCACAAACTGGATTAAAAAAAAATGACCTTTTAATTTTCGTTTTTAAACTAAAGATGTTAGACAGATGCTGAGTGTGCGTTTTCTCAACTGCTTCAACATTTTAAGCAGTTTCTGCTTTGGTTGACATGAAATTGCTTCCCCAAGCAGGTCCCATTGCCACCTTCTGGTCACTCAGTCCTGGGTTCTGCCAAGTAGTCCTGACAGTGGCCGAGGGCCACCACTGGGGACAGGGCCACAAGCTGGGTCAGGCCCTCTAAAGGAGAACACAATGTTTTCTAAGCCCAGACGTCAATGGGAACGGACCAAAGAGTTTCAGGGAAACTCCATATATTCCTGAATCAGATCTAAGCCCCAGGCACTCCTGAAGATGTGTAGCTACTCTGACATTCTGAGTTCCTGTCCACACATTGCATGCACGGTGCCCCACACATCAGATATTGTTGTTCACAGCCATTTCTCCAGTTTCCAAAAGCATTTAACATAGCTCGAATGCATAAGATAGCTCTATTTTTAATAACATGAACATTTGAGCATTATATTTCTCATATCCCTTGTGAGTGCTAGACTTTTTCTACTTTAGTCTGATTTTGTTTTGAAACTTTGCTTTCATATGAACACTCAGCAGGAAAGTACTTACTTCTTGCCAATTATCTATTAACAACGAAAAAAAGAAAACCTTTGATTTGTAGTTTTAAAGATTAACCCTCAAAAAAGTTCTCTTCATTATTGCTTTGACATTTTGGGTTGTTCTGTTAATTTTCTTTTGCTTTTTTGTGTTTTTTGTTTGTTTTTACTTTTGCATTTAAGACCATTAAATTTGATTTTGTTTTGCTCAAATTTTGTTTTGTTTTTTATTTTACCTTTTCTTTCTTTTTGGCTAGGCAAGATACAGACGGCCCAGCATTCAGGGAGGATATATAAGAGCTTAAGGAACAAATACTTGCCTCAAGACAAAGCATTTACAAATCTGTCGTATAGGAATGTGCAGTCACAGATGGTGTGTTTTTAAAATGGGGAGCCAGTAGGGAGAATCTGACAGGGCCTGCGAAGTAGCCAGGACTAGATCTCCGGGCAATTCTTAAGGAGCATGATCCGATTTTTATAAATATCTAGTGTACAGTGAGAATAAAAAACAGAATAACTTAGTACCAGCAGTTTTTAACTTTGACACAAGACTAAACGTAATAATAGGCTGTTTTTTAGTTATTGAGATCATGGAATTGCAGCATTATTTATCTATTAGTCTATTTATTTACGTGGGGGAGGGGAAAGGCCGATAGGCACAGCCTTCTCCAAAAAAAGATCAGTGTTCTGAGAAGCCCATGAAAAAATTTTGAGGCTATTACTCTCATACTTCCGTGAGGGGCTACCAGCTGCTTGCATTATTCTCCCAAATTTAAGATGTTGCCATGTTCTTTTCCCATACAAGGCCAAGTTCATACCTTGAGGCCTTGTCTCATAAATTGCCATGGAGGGCCTCCTCCCTCCAGCAGAATTTCCCAGATCCTAAGTCAAAGCCAGCTTGCGTGCCTCCTAAAACCCCAAACATAGAGATTGTCCCCGCTCTGTTGCCCCAGAGTGCTCTTCACCCTGGGACTGGCATGTTTTTCTGGAAAAATAAGCCTTTCAGGTGGTGCAACCTTGGGCCAACATTTCCTCAGAGATAAGATTCCCAATTCTAAAACCAACCCTTAAATCTCATTGACACACATTCCTGTCAGCCCTCACTCGTGCTCATTTTATTACAAGGATAATATAAAATGCAAACGAGATGATGGTGGGCTCGCACCCAGCACCGCAACTTCTTTCCTCCCCTCCCTTTTATTTGAAACAGATTGATTGTTCTGATGTTAGGTCAGATGAAGAGGAGATGTAGAGTACATATGAGCCTTTGAAAGTTGAGTTTCTCAGGTCATTAAAATTCTGTTACATGGTCACCTCACCACTCTTTGAATAGCCTTCTAACTAAAAACCCCAATGTGTTTCTTTGGGAGTTTTGATGTACAGGTGTGTGGAACGATTCTGTTTTTGACATATTCCTCCTGAAAAGCAATTGTCACTCCCATCCAGGTACCAGATGCTGGCCCTGTGTCTATAAAGTTCATTACATCTCTAGGCTTGTTTGCAAAAGGAAGATTTATTTTTTAAAAGTCACAATCCAAAAGAAACCATTTTTCAAAATTTACATTTTTATTTATATTTGTATTTTGCAAAATGAGTGATCTTATTTGGGAATTTTGATGGAAAAAATAAGAGTAGATAAAGTTAATTTATCACAAGTTTGGTTTGGTACATAAATGACCAAAGAAGCCTTGGTTGAATTCTCTTTTGTCCTGTGTAACTACCCTAACAATTGTTTGCTAAACAGCTCCCAACTTGTGGACCTGGTTCCAGTTGAGTTCTCTTATTTTTAACCCTTGGCTTCTGGAGCTTTTCAGTGGAATATGCTAGGCCATGATCTTCTGCGCGACTATGCCTCTTACCAGCAGGTAGGGCTGGGTTGGTCTGTCATCTTTGTTCAGAAGGTGAGTTTTTCCCTTGCCAAAGGCAGCTGACTTAACCTTGGAGAGTCTGCACTTGGTGTTAATGCTAGAAACCTCTGCACAGGCTGCTGCAGGAGTTGGTGCCTCTGAGCTGGCAACTGAGCGGTCCCTACTGGATCAGATAAGTAGAAGAATCCTATGAAAGTTATTGGCAATAACTTATTCTGGTTGGCCTCCAAACTAGGGCCATTCTAGGGCCATTGACTGACCTGAGTCCACTGTTGGGCTTGAAAATCAAAGTTAGCTTCACCCAGCTAGCTGTTCCATTTTACATCTGATGCAGCCTGATTTTTTTCTCTCTACTTATTGCAGCCTTCCTGTGTTGGATAAAAAAGAATAAGAATAAGCTGCCCCACCCCCAACCCCTACCCCAGTCCTCCACCAGAAATTCTTCCCATCTTCCCAAGACCTAAGGCACCTACTTCCCTCCCATTCATCAGATTTCCAGGCCAGCCACCAACTAAGGTTGCAAGTGCTTTGTGTTGAGTGGCATTGATAATTGACCCTTTCTTACAATAGCAGTAGAACTTGAATCCCAGATCTTCAGCGGGGTTCAAGGTTCTAAACCTTTTGATTTGCCTCTGACTTCTAATGATTGTATTGTATATTTTCCCACAACCTTTTGGTGACATAGTTCAGTTTTCTGCTTGGTTGTTTTTAAAAAAAGAAAATTTACTTGTAAGTCACCACCAGGACCTATGTTAGGCTAACCAGTGGTCTGAGCAGTGATTTTGAGAGGACTATATTTCACTTCCCCCTACCCCCAGAAGAGAAAGCTTGTCCATTGGTTGGGACCACCTCGTTACCATGTAATGTTCTGTTTATAGTGACTTGCTCTGGGGGAGGGGGACTTTCCTGACCGGTCCCCTTGTTGTACAGTAGATGAGTAGACATTTTGTATATTAGTGTTTTAAGTTACTGATTTGTTTTATATAAAATAATTTATTTTTCAGATACCATTTTTCATTTTAACTTTGTTTTTACATGGGTTTGTTTTCAATAAAGTATGACACTGCTGTCCAAAGTCAACAATAAAATGAATCCCATTGTGTTATTTTGAGGATGCTTATGTAATTAGCTTATTGTTATTATTATTATTATTATTATTATTATTATTAATTTTCAAGGGGGAAAAAAGCCCTCAGTTTTCCATCTTCCTATTTCCCTTTTTATCCTTGTGAATAAATGTTCTTTAGTGTTTTAAGAGGAAAAAGCAAACCTAGATTTTGATAATACAGAAGATTTCAGATTAATAAAGAAGCTTTGAAAGAAGACCATTTTTCAAAATTTTAGTGAAGTATGAATATTTTTTGTCAATGGCTTTCTCAAAGAGAATGAAACTTTTGCACCATTTTCAGAGTTTTTATAGAGATGCCAAATTGATATATTTACATGTAATGGAAACATGAAAAAGTTTTATTAAACAATTGTTCATAGCTGTGTAGACATTTTAATTCAGTTTCCAAAGCTCTCAAAGCGTATTTTTGGAGTACGGAGTGATAACAGTTTGGGATATGATTCCAAACATTCGATTGTCCAAATACTTAGTTCTTTCCACAGGTATCAGGTTTGTGTTAAACACTGTATGTGAACTATGACTGGAATTCTGTGATATTTTGGTAATAAATGAAGTGGGATCATTGAGATGTGGTGGTGTAGGGTGATGGTGTGTAACTTATAAGCAGTGAACACTGCCAAAGCGCCAGCTGGGGTTGCAGGTGACTTCCTCCTAGTTATACTTGGGCTGCCCTCTTGTATACAAGCTCTCCCTATATGCCAGGTATGGCCTTGACCCATGTGAGGAGGTAGGGGACCCTTGGACAGCCAGCTTGGGGTATTGAGGGAAAGGCACCAGGATGTGCTCTGTGACCAGATCTCCCACAACCCTCTGCTACACAGATTTTGCCCCCTCCCCTGAACACACAAGCCAGTTCCCTCCCCTCGGAGACTCAGAGGCCCCTCTTCTCCAGGTTCAATGATCTTGGGCTTTCTGTGTTGTCCCTGAGAGTTTCCTGCCGTCTGCTCCTCACTCCTGAGCCCTGTGGCCATTCTAAGTGTCCTGACATTAATCTCCTTGGTGACGGGAAAGCAAATTCTGACTGAGAGGCAGGATGGAGCACAAGGATCTTAGGTTTGAATCCTGGCTTGGCCCTCTCCCCAGTGTGCATTGGGGGCAAGACACTGACTTTCCAAGCTTCAGTGTCCCCATCTGTGAAATGGGATCCATAACACTCACCCCATAGGATTCTTAGAAAAGAAAAATAGATCAAGTAGGTACTGCACTTGCCACAGCTGTTCTGAATCCAGGAAGCATCAGAATCGAGGTTGGTGTCAGCAGAGAGGAGCAAGCCCCCACGCTGCCCAACAGCCATGGGCTCCACTGAAACCTACAGATGGGCCTCTTCTAAAGTCTCTAATTTTTCGTGTGTGTGTGTGTGTGTCTTGGAGTTCTGTGTTCATCTTCCTCTTTTCTAGATGTGGCTAAACAGTCCCATGACTTCTGAGAATACCTCAGAATATCCAGCCCCTGTCTGCCATAGGGGGGCATCTGGGGAAGAAGGAGCACACTCCAGCAGGAGGTGGTTCAGGGTGTCCCCTGCATGCTCAGACCAGAGGCCAGTGCAGGGCCTCCAGCAGGGCTCCTTGGATGGACTGTTCCAGGCGTCTGCACTGTGCACTGACGAGAAGGGACCTGGGTGTCAGCCCTTTCCAGTGCATCAGAGAGTAGGGCTTCTTGGCCTGGAGTGCATCCTTCCCCAGGGGCCCTGTTTAAAAGCATATTCACCATCAGCAGGTGTGGGGTAAGCCTGAGATTGTGCATTCCTAACAAGCCCAGGTGATGCTCACACTCCAGGAACCCACTTTGAAAAGCAAGAGGTTTAAGAAGGTGCCTTAAGTGGGGGTATGTTTTAACAAAATCTTGCTGGCCCCATCTCCGCTCTGGTGCCAAGAAAGCTTCTGATTCCCTCTCACCCAGAATTCAGAGCCCTGTGAGGCCGAACCCATGTGCAAGGCAGGAGAGTTCTTGCCACCAGACTGACTGCCCAGCACAGGCTGTTTTCATGTTCAAGGCTCTGACGGCCTAACATCTACATCCCTATGTCCTTAGGTTTTTTTTATTGGTTTAACTTCAGTAACTTCTTAGCACAATTTAAGAGGATTTCAGGAAGAGCAGGGAGAAAATCATAGTCACCAGTGTTTTCCCAGAGAACCTGTTTGTGTTTAGTAATAAACAGGACCAAGTTGCAATGTGAGTGTTTACTGGGGTGGTGGAGGGAGGAGGGGCACGGTGAATATATCCCTTGTCCTCTTAGCCTGGTGCCCCCAACGAGCAGGACAGTAGTGGTGGCATGGGATTGCCATCCTCTGACAAGTGGCAGCCTGGACTTCCCACCCCACCAGCTCCAGGAAGCCACACAGAAGTCCTGCAGCAGAACTAAAGCTAGCCAGGGAGCATCTGTTCCAAGTCAGGGCCTGCTTTGCCCACCTGCCTCATCTGGCGATGGTTAGTACATTTTATCCCACACAGGGGTCCAAGGGAACAGACCAAAGACCCCTTACCCCATGTGTGGGTACTGCTGAGGAGGGGGTGGGGCAGCAGGGTGTCCCAGGGGCTAGCATTGTCAGGATTTAACAGGACAGAGTTAAAGGAGCTAGAGATAGTGGTGGGAAAGGTGCTGTTAGCTGTGAGCTGTGCTTTGCTCTTTACAAAGTACTTTTCTCACATTACAGGTGTGTCAGCCCTATGAGGAATGTGTCACTGTTATTGTTGTTCATATACCCACTTTACAAATGATATGCCAAAGCTTAGTCCGCTGGAAAACAGGCTATTTAGTGCTGTTGATTTTACCCCCAGGTATAGAACATCCTGGGTTTGGGCTCCCTTTTAGTTTTGTGCCTCTGAACTGCACATTTTGGGGTTCAGTTTGTGATGGAAAGTTTGGATGCAGAGGAGGTGTGGTGGTTCCTGCAGGCGTGACCAAACAGGGATGAGAAGGGGCTCAGGTGCCTGCAGGTACATGCCATGGCCCGGAGCTGACCCCAAGTTCTCCCTGGGTCTTTACACCACCCCAGAGCAATTGAGGCCACCTCTTGAGTAGTTAGCCAGCTCCTACCCGCTGGGACCTCCTGGGACAGTGTCCTCTGCAGGCGTCTCATAACCTGCCAGCAGAACTGGCACAGAATGTGCAGGGCCTCTTGTTCAGAAAGCGTTAAGAACGCCATGGCCAGTGTGGCTCAGTGTTGAGCATTGACCTATGAATCAAGAGGTTACTGCTCGATTCCTGGTCAGGGTTGGCAGGCTCCATCCCCAGTACAGGGCGTACAGGAGGCAGCTAGTCAATGATTCTCTCTCATCATTGATGTTTCTATCTCCCTCTCCCTTCCTCTCTGAAATCAGTAAAAATACTAAAAGTAAAAAAAAAAAAAAAAAAAAGAATGCCCTGGCCAGTGTGGCTCAGTTGGTTGAGTGTTGTTCCATGCACCAAAAGGTCGTCAGTTCAGTTGCCCGTTAGGGCAAATGCCCAGGTTGGGGGCTCAACCTCCAGTACAGAGTGTGCAGGAAGCAGCCCATTGATGTTTCTCTCCCTCTCCCTTCCTCTCAAAAAAAAAAAAAAAATCAATAAAAACATACACACACACACACATACACATTCTGAGTGGCCAGATTATTATGACCACCTGATGTTTGTAGGCAAATTAGCTATAATTTCATGCTGAAGTTGCTAGAGGACCAGACCCATTATAAATAGGGAAGCAGGTTGTTTACCACAACAGTAGAAGTGATTTTTTTTCTGAAGATATGGGTAAACAACGCGATTTAACAGCCTTTGAACATGGGATATAT